GAAGTGGATCTGGGATAGAGGGGAAGTAGGGGGGTACTGGGGAGAGAGGATGGAGAGGAAATTGCATTCAGGATGTAATATATAACAAAAGAAGAAAAAAGAAAATGTGGTACATTTACACAATGCAATATTAATTTGCTGTTTAAAAATAACATCATGAAATTTTCAGGAAAATGGATGAAACTAGAAAAAAATCATCCTGAGTGAGGTAACCCAGACTCAGAAAAACAAATATGCTATGCAGTCACTTATAAGGGGTTATTAGCCATTAAGTAAATGATAACAAATTAAGGCCTTGGATGCAGAGGTTAGGTAAAGAGCAGGGGGTGGGTTCTAGAAGGGATGCTTAGATCTCCAAGAGAATGGGAAATACAACAGATTTTTCAGGTGGACTGTAGGCAGGTGGGGACAGAAGTGGGAGGGACCAAGTGGGAGGATGGGATGGAGGGAGGGAATGCAGGGAGAGATGGATGAAATGGGGGACATTTGGGAGGTGGTATGGAAACCTAGTGCGGTAGAAACTTCCTGGAAGTTATGAGGGTCACCCTATTGAGGACAACTAGTAATGGAAGCCTAAACTGACTGTCTTTTGTAGCCAGGCAAGGCTCCCGGTGGCAGGATTTGGTACATTGGGTTGAGTTATTGACCGAAGGGGGCCTGTGGAAATCCTCAAACAACCCAGGCTGATATTAGGATAGAGGGTTGCTCTCTGCAAACTGACAGCTTAGAGTGGAGCCTGGTTGCCAAAGTCAACATGCACAGGGCTCATTGAATGTGCAGAGGTTGGGCAGGTGACTACATAGAGCCTTCATCCATATGTTCTAATCTCTTTGGTGTGAGAATATACTACGCAGGTTTTGAATGACAAATGTGTGCACCATCTACCAACTTAGCTACGTAACCTTTGACCTATACAGTTTATACTGCCTGGAAGATGTGCTGGAATAATGATGGTGCAGTACTGTGGGACTGGCCAACCAATGCCTAATTTAACTTAAAGCCATCTTTACTAGAGTGAACCAATGCCCAACACTGCTTGGATGGCCAGAAACAGGAAATTGAATATCCCAGGGACCAAGGGTATGACAGCCCCCCCCCCAAAAAAATATCAATGAAATGATTCCTAATGATGTTTTGCTATAATCATAGATTGATACCTTATCCATTCTCTATTAGCAAGGCTTCCTCCCACAGTCGATTGGACGAGATCCAGAGACCTACAACCAAGCATTAGATGAAGAGAGGGTCTAAATCGGAAGTCTCCATTGGGTCCCTTACCTTGGAGATCAGGTAAGAGACCCATATAAGAGGGGCTGGAAAGATTGTAGGAGTCAGAGGAGATGGAGGACACCAGGAGAACATGGCTGGATCAACTAAGCAGGATGCAGGTGGGCTCAGAGTGACTGAAGCAGAAAGCACAGGGTCCTGCATGAGTCAGCACCAGGTCTCCTGCATAAATGTTGTGATTATTAGCTTGGTGTTTTTGTGGGACTCCTAACTGTGGGAACAGATGTGTCGTTGACTTGTTTGCCTGTTCTTGGGACTGTTTTTCTCCTGTTGGGTTGCCTTGCCCAGCCTCAGTGTGAGCATTTTATCCTTGTCTTATTGTATTTTGTTTTTTTCCTGTTTGGTTGTTGTCTTTTGGAGACCTATTCCTTTCTGAAGGGGAAAGGATGGGGAGTGGATCTGGGGGAGAGAAGATGTAGAGGGCTGGTTGGGAGGAGTGGAGGGAAAAGAAACTGTAGTTGAGATGTATTGTATGAAAGAAGAATCAATTTTCAGTAAAAAAAAAATGAAGATTCCTCAAATGCTAAAAATAGATCTAGCATATGATCCAGCTTTACCATTTTTGGGCATAGACTTAACAAGCTGGATATCGTACTCTAGAGCTATCTGGTTATTTCTGTTTATTATTTGTCTATTCGAATTAGATGGTCCTTTATAGTTCAAACTGAATTACTTACTATACAACTGTTTAAAATTTTTGGATCCATCTTTAACCTTCTTGAATTTAACTGTGCTTATGTCCAGTTTTAAATCAGTAGGTAAGAAACAATTATCTCTTGTGTATCCGCATATGTGAGATCTTGGTGAGAAGCCTAAATGGGTCAAGTCACTTTCTGTTCAAGCTGAAGATTGAGTTTGACCCTGGGATCACATGGAAGGAGGGAATTGGCTTCTGCAAGTTTTCTTCTGACCTCAACAAACATAACACAGTATAGTGCTGCAGTGTGTGTTCACATGTGTACACTCACACAAATAAGTCAACTAGAATATAGGATATTTACTCATATTCCTAGAAGTTTTAAAAAAGCATTTTTGTTAGTCTATGTTATTGTCAACTTTTAATCATGATATTAACTATATCACTTTTGTTAGAATACCCAACTAAAAGTAGTTTGGATTTTGCAGCACATGCCTTTATTCCCAGCACCTGGGAAGTAGTGAGAGGCAGGTCTCTGTAAGCTCTAAACAAGCGTCATCTACATACTGACTTCCAGGTTAGGCAGGGTTACACAGTGAGAGCCCATCCCCAAATTTTTTTTAAAAAGCAATTTAAACAACAGAGGTTTATTTGTAAGTTTCACATAGTAAGAAGTCTAAAGGTAGGCACTGATAGGGTCAATCCACTCACTCAAACACTTATTTTCTCTGCCTCTCTCTCTACTCTGCAAACCCCAGAATATTAAAGCGGCTCTACCCATGAAGGCAAGATGAGCACATAAAACTCTATTATTAAAGCCAGCCCCAGTTTTAGGCAATGAGAAGAGAAGGGGGCCACAAGAGGAGGCAGCCCTTTCTTTATGAGGAGAAAACCTTTCTGAGGATCCCTACCAAAGGTGTTCTTAGTCTGTTACTAGGTAGTATTTGCCACATGACTACTCTTAGCTACAAAATGGGCTATAACACAGAAATAAGTGGGAATTCTAGTTTCTATGTGTAATGAAAGGTGTTTATTGGATTGCTAAGGAGAAATTTGTTATTTAATATGTAATGACCATTGTATGCTTACTATACAGATTTAGTAGCAAACTTTAGTGTCTTAGGATATGGATGAATCAGTTATCAACTGAAGCCATACAGAATTAGATATGTGGACTTTAAACTTTCCCTTCCTTGTACTTGTGAATGGAGTCTCACTTTAACCCAGAATTTTCTAAGTGGATCATAATGAATTTGTTCCATACTGACTGGAAGTTTCAGGAATGTGAATTTTTATTTAATAGGAGAAAGCTTATTTCTGACAGAGCTTTAAGAAGACTGCTTGAAGAAGGCCTTAGTTATCTGTCACTAGACCATCTATGCAGAATTCTTGAATGACAACAGTAATTTGTAAGCTCTAAATCAAGAATGGCTGGGATCTGTCTTAAATTACCTTAGAAAATAGGTGTGATAGCACATGCCTCAAATCCCAACACTTAGTAAACTAAATTCACTATTGAATGTGAGGCCAACTGGGGACATATAGTGAGTCTCTGTCTCAAATGGAAATTGCAGTAGAGATTGCAGAGAAAAGTCACATAAAACGGAGGGAATTAAATTCTGTGATTTGTACCTATTTTTGCTATATGTATGCAAGAATTTTGCTTTTGCCATAACAGACCCAAATAAATAAATTTGCTTATATTCAAAATGAGTATTTATATTTTCATAATAATATACTAATATCATTAGGTACGTATCTAACAGCCATGGTATTATAAAATAAACAACTTACTATTAAAATATTAAACAAAACTGTCCAGAATAAATAAATTATATTGAATCAGGATGATCCAAATAGGTAAAAAATATTTTTATTCATGGTAATAGGAAGTTTCAAACATGAGCTCATAGTACCTTCATTTTATTGATAGCCAGAAAGCAGAAGCAGGATATAAAATAAAATAATGGGTAAATTCCAAACAAGAAATAGTACATAAACTATACTTGCCAGTAAGTGAGAAAAACAATGTATTTTTGTGATATAAAAAGATGATACCAGGTGAACTACAGTTTTACTAGATAGAAGATATGTAGCAGATACAGTCACCTTAGTGCAAACTGTCATGCTGATAATGCAAATCTAAATGTGTGTGTGTGTGTGTGTCTGTGTGTGTGTATGTATGTATGTATGTATGTGTAGGTGGGTTTGTGTATGAAAGAGAGAGATAGAGACAGGGAGAGGTAAGGTTTTAGTTAGAAAGTAAGTAATACTCTGGTCATGTCCAAACCTAAGTAATTAATACTGTCAATTATATACTTACTTGATATAATAAAATCACATGAGTTCTGTAAAGTGATGGCTGAAGAAATAAACAATGTAATCTTATTTGTTTATAAAATAAATCCTAAAATTTTTGCCAAGCCAGAAACAATATTTTTTTTTTAAACATTGCCGGTTAAGGTGAAAGTTCAGTGTCCCAACTGAATTATGTCTCTGCTTGCTATCCTGACTACTACTCCCCTCGTCATCTCTTTATTTTCTCTGCCTAGCAGCTCTCCTTTCCTATTTCTGTCTTTATTCTATTTTCTGGTTTCTCTTTTTTCTTATTGGCAATGCTACACAATTATGTCTTCTGATTCTTGTTTAGCAATCCCAGTAGCCATGAGGTCAGAGATCTGATCCTAAGCAGAGTTGAAAATTACATTCATAGAAATAAGTGCCAAGTAAAAATTCTGTTTTGGCAATAGTAAATCATTATGAAGCCTACTATAAAGATATACATATAGCTTTAAGAAATAACATAGATTTGAGGATAAACACAAGCAGCGTGCAATTCATAGAAAAATCACTTCTATTTTTAGAAGTAGGAACAAACAGGTACAGGGAACAAATAAGTCTACAATACTAAGTTAATTAGCAATTTACCCAGGCAAGAAGGAAAAAGTTCAAAATCCATCTTCAGGTGTCTCCTATATAAGGCACGCACACTCTCTGTTTATCAGCTGGAAAACATAATTGCAGGAGACCTAAGTTCAGTTGCTAAGACTGCTAAGGTTTCTGCTTTTCTCCCACAATGGCAGATTGCACAATTATACTGACTCGAATGCTGTTCATCTGCTGTTTTTTGATGGTACACTGCACTCAACGTAAGAAATTTTCACTTGTTTTATTTTCTATAGGTTGATAACATAATGAATTAATTAGGTCTCAGTGTCCAAGTCTAAGTAATTAACCGGCATTCTAACCAAAGTTCTGCTATTAAAAATTTTCAATTTCTGGACATGTCTCCTTTATTAGAGGTGTTTACTTTCTGAAAGAATTTTTTCTTCTGAAGCCAATGTGTTCATTTCTGATCCTTTAGGTAAACATAAAATGTGAAAAATTCTATGGTAAAATAAGTAAAAATTTTACTTGAGTGGATGCTGGAAGTTGATTTAGGCTACTTAACCAATTTGTTTCTCTGAATGTGTATTAGTTGTAACCTGTTTTTCAGAAAACTTTCAAACTGAAAAGTTATAATTTATTTGTTATAATCAATTCACATGGGTTGTCATAAAATTGTGGTTGAAGAAGTAGATGATATAATCATATGTGTCTATAAAATAAAACCTAAAATTGTTGTCAACCCAAGAACTATATTTCTTTTTCTAAACATTGCCTGATAAAAACAGATGTAGCTTAAATTTCCCCTAAGCAGCAATATTTGGCCTAGCAATTGTGGTGGGGATTTCTCTAATGTACAATTAGAGGGAACATTTTGGTCAGATGAAGTTGCTTTCATATTTTAAAAACTAGAATCAAACTTTTAAAGTACTGTACTATATTTTTGGTTTTTCTTACAAATTCCATTATGTGTTGTGGTGTTTTTCTTTTGTTCCTTTGAGTAATATATTTAAATAGTAAAATCAGTAAAAGTTTAGTTTCCTTCTGGGTGCTACAGATCTAATCTTTATTATCTACCATCTCCTATACCAAACAAATACTATGATTCAGACAATTATGAAATCTCACTCTATAAACAGTTTGTTTTTGTGTCTGTGCTGGTGGAGGATGAAAATAATTTGCCATTTGGTGGGGGGGGGTTAAGATTTTTGTGCTTCAAGGATGGCCCCAGCTAAGACACCTAGCAACAGTGGAGAGGATGACTGAGCTGGCCTTCCCTTGTAATCAGATTGGCAATTACCCTAATTCTCATCATAAAATCTACATCCAGTAACTGAGGGTCCTGCCTTAATTTGGTGTCCCCCACTGTGTTGACTCCTGGGAGGCCTTAAACTTTCTGAATGGTGACTGAAGAGGAGTGGATGGGGGAAGGGGAGAAGGTAAAAGGGAGGTGAGGGAAAGGAGAGGAGAGGAGGGAAGGGAAACTGTAGTTGTTGTGTAAAATAAATGAAAAAGAAAAAAGAAAATAACAAAAAAATTAAATATTTTTGTGCTTTATGGGTCCTATGATTTTTAGCAAGTCTTCTTCACTTGTTTTTGGACATTATAGCGTTTTTCTCAGTTATTGGGAATGCATTACTGCAGCCATATTTTTGAAAGAATACATCTCTAGGGAGGCCTTGAAAAATCATTATGTGTTGGGGCTGAAATGCTTGCTACTCTCAGAGGCTTACTAGTCGGATGCTTTTTAAAAATAATATTACTGGAAATAGATTCTTCTTTCATACAACACATCCTTACCACAGTGTCCCCTCTGTCCATTCCTCCCATTCCCCCACCTCCCATCTAGCTCCATCCTCTCCTCCTCTGTTTCCCTTCAGAAAAGAGCAGGCTTCCAAGAAACAACAGCTAAACACAACAAAACAAGATACAATGAGACAAGGCAAAAGTCCTCATATCAAGGCAGGACAAGGCAAACCAGCAGGAGGAAAAGAGTCCCAAGAACAGGAAAAATAGTGAGAGAGACACCCAATGGCTTCTTTAATCTACCAGTGTCTTTTTGAAGGAAAGAGAATGCAGTTATTTTTCCAGGATAATAGGAATAAATTGAGGTTAAGCATGCCAGTTTTACGCTGCCTCAGACTTTGGATAGGATATTTTTGTTTCTTTTACAGAAAAGTATACTCAAATTTAGTATGAAAGAGCATTAGACCTTTTCCCCATAATGTTATGGATTGACTTTATAAAGTCATATTTTCAAAATAACCAGTATGAAATAGTATAAAGAAAAGATATTTGGATATTCATCTTGAATTTTGAGGCCTAGTCTTTTATCAATATAATGTTTGGAAATCTTAAAGTAGCATGAACCTATTTTCATTTTAAAATTCTTTTTACTTTAAATGAAAATGTAATTTCATCATTTTCCCTCCTATGTCTCTTTTCTCTTGCTCTCTCCCACACGAACAATTATCTTAACATTCAGAACTTAGCACATGTGTAGTATGTACATTTGAAACATATTTTTCTATTGTTGAGATGGTTTTCAAATTTTCCTGTTTACAGCCAACTGTACATCTGTGACAGACTTTGGTAATTGTCTAGGAAACACAACAAATTTCTGCCCCAATGACATTGCCTGTGCATGCAAAGATGAAAAGCCTTTCTGCAAGTAAGTAGTATTTATGCTGTACGAAAAGGAAACAGAGCATATTGTAAGTAATTTTGTCTGTTTTTATTTGTTTGGTATATGCAATCATGTAATACTTGAATATAATAATGTAATCCTATGCATATGGGACAATGGTTGTGGTCTTCTTCCTAGATGCTTTCCTTTGACTTTATGAGATTAATACCATTCAGATTTGTTTTCTGCATATAGTCTTTTGCAGCTAGATTATATATTATATATAATATAAGAATATATACACATATATTCTTAGTAAACTACTTTATATCTCTAAAAAGAAAAATTAGGTGTGTATCATTTCATTTAGTAATGAATAAAGGACTTTTGTTTCCTAATCAGCATATGATATAGATATTCTATAACATATGGCAGTCTTTCTTTTTTCCAGTTTTGAAAGCATGAAAGTATGTTGAGTCATAAATTTTATTTTAAAATAAATTCAAACAGATTTTTTATTTTTCTAATCATAAAAATGAGAGTGATTGGAAGAAAAGATAGTACATGAATAAGAAGGCTTGCCTCATTGACTGATACAGAGGATACCCAGGGAGGACCAATAATGAAAGTGAATAACATCACCATGTATAGGCAAGGGATCTGAGTTTTGAAAAATTTTGCATTTAGAAAAGTGCAGAAATGTTCTAGACATCCCAAATGACTGTATTTGCATTTCGATGTGTGTACTATTTTATCTCCTCTTTATAAGGGTTTATTAAATGAATCAATCATTGAATGGGAGTGTTTGCCTAGTAAAATACTGGAATCACTGAAGACAATGAAAAATGATTTTAAACAGCAAGGCACTGAATTTGTCCCTGGTTGCATGTGCATGTATTCTCAGCTATTCTGGAGGCAGGGGCAGTGGGAACTGCTTAGTCACATGCATTCCAGGGTGTTCTTGCTACAAAATAGCAAAAGTCATATCTCAAAACCAGAAACAACAAACCCAAAAGTTTTACTTTTCCCCCTTTTTATTGAACATAGACCCTTTTCTCATACAATATATTCTGATTAAGGTTTCCCTCCCTCTACTCCTCCTAGTTACTCCCCACTGCCCATCTCTTCTGGATCCACCCCTTTTCTGTCTCTCATTAGAAAAGAAAGGGCTTCAGAGAAAACAAAATATGACAAAATCAAATTTAATAAGATTAAGTAAAATCTATCATATCGCAGGTGGACATGACAACCCAATAGGAGGAGAAGAGTCTCAAGGGCAAGTGCAAGAGTCAGAGATCAGCTCGCCATTCTCACAGGAGTCCCATAAAAATATTAAGCTAAAAGTAATAGCATGTATGCATAGGACTTGGTTCAGACCCATGAAGGCCCTGTGCTGCTTCTTCGGTCTTTATAACTTCAGGTGAGCCTTGCTTAGTTGTTACAGAGAGCCTTGTTTTCCTGGTATCCTCCATTGCCCCTGGCTCTTTCCATTTTCTCTTCCCTGGGATTCCCTGAGCTGAAAGGAGAGTGATTTGATGGAGTTATCTCACTTAGAGATGCTTGTTCCAAGATCTCCCTGTGTAGTATCTGGCTGTGATTTTTTTTGTATTTGTTCCTGCTGCAAAAGTAAGCCTCTCTGATAATGAGAAGATAAGGCACTGGTTTAGGAGTATAGCAAAATATCACTAGGAGTCATTGCATTGATACTTTTTTAGACTAGTAGTATTTGGTTTTATGCTAGGTCTCTGGAATATGAAATCTCTGGTTCCTGGTTACCTAAGCAGTATCATGTGTGGTTTCCTTCTCATGGATTAGGCCTTAAGTCCAATCATATATTGATTGTCTAGACCCACAAGTTTTGTGCCAAAATTGCCATAGCATATTTTGCAGGCAGGACAGATTGTAGGTCAAAGTTTTTGGCTGGATTGGTGTTTAAATTTCTCTTTCAGTAGCCTGCAGAGTATTTTTCCACACCAAGAAGACTAGAATATAGGGGTAAAGGCTCCATGTACGTATCTACTTGATTTCTTCATGTTCAATGAGGTGTGTGTGTGTGTGTGTTTCTCCATGATGGTTCCATGATGTCAGTTTGCAGAGAGAAACCCTTTGTCTTAGCAAGAATATGGGTAGGTTTTTTTTTTTTTTGTTTTTTTTTTTTTTTGAGCCAGGGTTTCTCTGTAACTTTTGGTGCCTGTCCAAGAACTAACTCTTGTAGACCAGGCTGGCCTCGAACTCCCAGAGATCCACCTGCCTCTGCCTCCCGAGTGCTGGGATTAAAGGTGTGTGCCACCACCGCCCAGCAAGAGTATGGGTAGTTTGAAGATTTCCATGGGACCATTTTTGCCAGCGACTCAAATGAATGCAACCCAGCCCTGCCACTGGAAGCCTTGCCTTGCTACAAGAGATAGCCACTTGAGACTCTGTATTCTCATGACTAGGAATCCTCATTAGGATCATCTTCATACATTCCAGGAAGTTTTCACAGCGTTAATTTTCCACATACTCCCAAATGTCCCCCCAATTCCAGCTTTCTCTCTTTACACCCCATCTTTTCCAGCATGATCCCCAGCTTCCATACCACCACCCACCCCTCTCAGGGAGATTCATGTATCTCCCAGAGCCCTTCTCTTTCTCTCTCTGGTTTAGCGATTGCAACTTGGTTATCATTTACTCAATGGCTAATATCCACTTATAAGTGAATATATGCCATATTTATCCCTCTAGATCCTTGTTAGTTCACTCAGGATGATATTTTTCTAGTTCCATTCATTTGCCTGCAAATTTCATAGTGTTATCTGTTTTTAATAGTTAAGTAATATTACATTGTATAAATGCATCACATTTTCTTTATTCATTCTTCTATTGAGGAATATCTTGGTTGTTTCCACATTCTGGCTATTATGAATTAAGCTGCAATGAACATGGTCGAGCAAGTATCCTTATGGTAAGAAGGAGCATCCATTGGGTATTTGCTCAAGGATATAGCTGGATCTTGAGGTAGATCAATTCCCAACTTTCTGGGGAAGTAACTGCATACTGATTTCCATAATGATTGTACAAATTTGTACTCCCACCAGTAATGGAGGAATGTTCTCCCAGTTCCACATGCTTGCCAGCATGTACTGCCACATGTGTTGTTGATCTTAGTCATTCTGATGGGTGTTAGATAAAATCTCAAAGTAGTTTTGATTTGAATTTCCCTGGTGGCTAAGGATGCTGAACATTTCTTTAACTGTTTCTCAGTCATTTGAGTTTCCTCTATTGAGAATTCTGTTTAGATATCTATTCTACTTTTTAATTACATTATTTAATTTTTTTATATGTAGTTTCTTGAGTTCTTTATATAATTTAGGTATTAGCTCTCTGTCAGATATGGAGTTGGTAAAAACTTTTCCAATTCTGTAGACTTCAACTTTGTCTAATTAACAATATCTTTGGCCTTACAAAAGCTTATAGTTTCATGAGGTCCCATTTATTAATTTTTGATCTTGGTGTTTATGCTATTAGTGTTATATTGAGGAAATCATCTCTTGTGCCAATGTGTTAGAAGATATTTCCCATTTTCTTTTCTATCAGGTTCAATGTGTCTAGTTTTATGTTGTCTTTGATCCACTTGGACTTGACTTTTGTGCAAGGTGATAAGAATGGATTTATTTGCAGTCTCTGCATGCAAACAACTAGATTAATCAGCATCATTTGTTGAGGATGATATATTTTTCCTATGTATATTTCTCTTTTAATTGTCAAATATCAGGTGTCCTTTTACATGTAAACAGAAACTTTTAATAATAATATCTTTTTGTAATTCCATTTTGCATATTATTTTTCTTCTTTTTATTTATTCTTTGTGTCTTTCACATCATGTGTCTCCATCTCATTCATTTCCCTGTCCTTCATATCCACCCTGTATCCACCTTTTGTCCTTGAACCTCCCCCAGTCCCCAAAATAAAATAAAATGAAATGAAATTTAAGAGAAGGAAGAAAGAGAAGAAAAAACAGTTTCATCATGGAAGCTGTGGTGTGAGACACTGAATTTCACAGTAAGCCCTTTTATCCATCTATCTTTTGTACCCACCCAGCAGGTCCAGTTATTCCAGGGTCTGAAGGGGCACTACTTGAAAGAACATGGGCGCGCGCGAGAGAGAAATGGAGACCAAGCAAACTTCTCTTGTCAAAGTCTCCGTTTATTGAAGCAAGTTTTTGTCTTAAATACTCCTCAGTGAGGAACTAGGGCAGGGGCAACTGGGGATGGGGAAAGGGAGAAGGGGGAAGGGGGAAGGGGAAAGGGATTTGGCAGCTATGCGGGGCAGTTGCAAGGTCAGTGGCTAGATAGAACACCTGCTGTTAGTGATAAGCAGCAAGCAATGAAGACCCTCTGTGGTGCTTTCCAGAGCTTGAGTCTCCAAGGTTAGCATGTAATGTTTTGGTTAACTTTAAGTTTTCTGTCTCAAGGTTTTTTTTTCAAGGCCCTGTGAGAAAGGAGAAGCCTGAAATGGCTCCTGACAATCTTTATTTGCAAGTGCTTATTGCACTCTTTGGTCTGATTTGAGGTCTCTGTTTTCTGCTGCACTATTGATACTGGGCCTTCACTGGAATTCCTCTTGGTTATCCTGTTGTTTCCTTGTGTTGTGGAAATCCTGAAGGTTAAGGGCTAAAGGCCTGGTCCTTTCACGTGCTCCAGCAGATCACAGATGGGGTAGATGTTGCAATGGTCCAACATATAACCCTGGTTTTGGGCCTGGGTAGTTACATGGTTGGTCAGCATGCCAGTTCTCCCTTGATCTCACCACCAGGGTGAGCTCTACTGCATTGTCCTGGCGAGTTCACACCTACCAATAATAAGCATGGGGTTGGACCAGTTCTCATCCTTTCATGTCCCTAGGGTCAGATCTCCCACACCTACACCTTCAGGGTCAGCTCTACTATGTTGCCCAGGTGTGGAATAGGAGCCACTCTCCAGAGTGTTACAACTGTTGAAGGAGCAGGACCAGCTCTCCTGCTCTTATGACCTCAATGCCAGTTCTCTCACCCACTTCAGGGATTG